TGAATACACACGGATTAAATGTTTGAAATTGATTTGATTTTAATTGTAAATATAATGATGATGATTGAGGATAACGACGGTTTAGATTAAAATTTTGATTTAAACCATAAAATGTACATAAGTCAATATTAGATAAATTGTTACCATCTATATTAGAACAAAAGAATTTTTTTTTGTTAGATTTTTTTTCTAATATTATATTTACTTACTTAAATTTAGTTTTGTTAATGCTTTTAATGTTAAAAATTCACATCCAACTAGTTGTGTAATATTATTTGATGCTAATTTTAATTGTCGTAATTCGTTGAGATATGAACTATAAAATATTGTTGTTAAATTTGTCAATTGATTATGTGATAAATCTAAATATTTTAAACGATAGAGTCCAGTCCATGCTTCAGGTGTAATGATTATGATGTTATTATATTGTAATTTAAATATTCTTAAATTAACTAAATAGGAGAATAATGGTTCATCTAATACTGTCAAATTATTATAAGATAAATCTAAATAATCAATTAGAAATGGTCCACCAAATGCATTTGGATGACGTTGAAATGCTTCCAAGGATATATTTGATATTAAATTATGACTTAAATCGACACGTGTTAAACGATGAGAAAAACCGAATGCATATGATGGAATTTCTTCAATACTATTGTATGATAAATATAATTCTTGAATACGAGTGGCATTTTCCAATGAATAAACTGGAATCTACAGAAATAGAAATGAGTTATTATTTTGTTTGCAGTAGGAACGAATTCACAAAAAAATTTCTCCGGTTGATAAATTATTTTGTACATGAAATACAATTTTTTATGAGTTATTTTCGAAATTGATCAATATTCTGAAGTCCATTATTGCGGCTAGATCTTCCAAATATAGAATCTTTCGAGATCTATCAAAAACTTTTGCTTGAAATGATTCTGGTTGTACAGTAAGCCAAGTTAAACATATGCAAACGTTTTCAAACTGGACGAACACGTTCTTACAAAGATATAAGAGTTGTAATGTGCTGAATAATGTGAAGTTTTGAATATCCACTATATCATAAAACAAAAATTTTATGTCTTCAAGAGAACGTTTTTATATATGTAACTCGAACTATTGTACAACCAGGATATATCACGATCTTTCATGAAAAAATTTTGAAAAACAGTACATCATGAAGACGGCGATTTTCTATTTGAAAAGGTTTCTTCATTAAATGTAGTTATTTTTCTCTCTCTCTCTCTTTGAGTAAGCTTACTTCTGTTAAATTGTTGTGATCTAAATATAAACTACTAATATTGTAATCTAATAATTTCATTTCAAATTGTTCTACTCGTTTTGAATTCAAATTTAATTGTTCATTTAAATCATTTAATAATTGTAAAATTTGATTATGTTCTGAGATTTCTATTGAACGTTTCAATCGTGACGGATAATAGTGATGATCGTCTCCATTACCATCATGTTCCTCATCATCGTCCTCCTTCTCATCGTCTTCTCGATATTCGTCATCTGGTAGTTTAAAAATCTGTTTATTTGGCCATAAATCGATTAAATTTCGATGTGTCATGTTTAAATGACGAATAATATCGAAGGATAGTGAACGAGATAGAACAAAATGTTTAATATAAATATTTGACCATAATTTTGTATCAACAATTGAAAATAGATTAAATGATAAATCAATATTCCACCATAGTATTGAATGAGATGAAATAAATTGTGATGTTTCATTATCAGTTCGATTTTTAACAATAGTATTTGTTACAGTATGATTCCAATTTGTTGGAATAGGTAAAGATTTTAATTTTTTATAAAAACAATCAATCCATAAACGTTTTGTATCTACTTCACATAGACATCGACATGGTTCATCTATTGGACAAGGATAAACATAATCATTTTTTGTTCGAATATCTGTACCATTATAGAATAATTCTTGTGAACAAATGGAATAAGAAGATTTTGTTTCATCATAATACATGGTGACTGATTGTTGTTTTTCTAATGCGAATATGATATGAAAATAAAATAATAAAATTTTAATAATAATCAATTGATGTTGATGATAATAATTATAAATATTGTAGTTTAAACACCATTTCATTCTTCCTCATATTGATTTCATGCGTTTTTACATCTAGGGATGATATAATAAGATGACAATTTGATAATAGTTCATTTTTTATATATCAAATATTTGATATTTATTCTAAATAAACGAAATACAAAAAATAAAAAAGTAAACAAGATTTTTTGTACATTTTTGTGATTTGGATTTATTTCGTAGTGATAGACAGTTTTAGATTCATACTCGAGTGTTTTTTTTCATATCTATCAGACTTATTAATAAAAACAAAAAAAAATTATGTAACAAAAAATTTACCTTCATGTAATATTTATACTATTAGAAAAATATCTGTTAAAACTAATACCGTATCGATAGTGAACCTATTTGTTTTTAATTTGTTATTTGAGAGCAAAGAAAATTTATTTAACTATTATTTTTCCGTAAAAAAAAAAAGAATGTCAACAACAAGTTAATTCACAAACATTAAACACTGATATTTCCGTTTCGATCTATTTTTTTGTTAATCAAAAGTTATTGTTTCTCTCATTTATTTAAAAATAGAACAAATAGTAATTTTCACTCAAACAAATATTTCTCTATTTCGGACAGAAACGAGAAGAGAGAAAAAGAGAAAAGAAATAATAGAGCTGTTCTAGTTTTTGTGGAGTTAGAAAAAAGAAGAAATAAACTTGACAGAATGATGACAATTCTTTTTTCTTTCATCTTCTTGAGTTTGCTTCTAATACCCATGGCACAGTGTATAAAAAGCATATCAGAAAAAAATAAGATAACAACTGTGTACACTTGTTGAGATAACGAAGCTTCATTATGATGAAATGAACTTTCTACACATACACAGATACAAATGCACTCTTCTTGTATTAATCAATCAGGAAATTCTTATAAGATTTAAGATTCATGTATTGACAGTCACGGAAATAATTCACTTTAATCACAAAACAATACACAGGAAAATCGTTTGAAACACATGTTATCAATGATCAAACTATCATGAGCATAAGAGAGAATCTAACATTAATTGAATACATTTTTTTTTTCATGTATATATTCTTAAATTTCTAAATAGTGTTAAACTAGACACTAAAAATTTTAATATTGTGTACAGTTTAATCAAATTTTACAAAATTATTTCATTGTTTATACGAACTATTTTAGTTTAACAAGATATATTTTTTACATGTTGTTAAATACCTGATCTGAAATTAGAATTAGGTTTTTCTTTTTTACTATCTATGTCTTGTATAAAAAGATTATTGACTTCGTATATAGTTTTTATTTATGTTATACGAAAACATGACGTACACTTGAAGAAGAAAGCAAAAATATCCACTTTTAGATCAGTTTGATTACAAATGTAACGATGACATTATCACATGGAAAACTATTCTAACAGTTGCACATTACTACACTCCTTTATTTTCAATAGAGTCACAAATCTTTCTATATACCATTTAATGTGTAGGTATGCATCAGATATAGATCAATCATTTCATTTCGTGACATCCGCGTGAATAACCATTTGTAATACTATTTATGATCAAATAGACTATTGAATGTGTAGATTGTCAAAAGAAAACTGTTTTATACAATACAGATATAGTCATAGTCGTAGAAAACAGAATATGGCATACTCGTCCATTTGCTAAACTTGTAGATATTATATTCGATAAGTCATCGAATCTTTGCTGAACAGACAACATATTACACGGTATTCATATGTACTTGGTTCCGAATAGTGTCAATAACAAGTTAAACAGTTGCATTTAGTAAAAGATTGACATTTGATAAAACCGATATATAAATTGACAAATAATTTTTTAGTCACTGTATCATAAATTGTAATCATTTGTTCGAAATCTCAGATATTTCTTACATGTACTTACATATTGCAATTTCGACTGTATACTTTTAAGTGTGTATCAATGATCATTCATTTTTGATTTAAATTTCCATTGAATGTCATGGTTAATAGAAGAGAATGAAACCATAGTAATAAGAACAAGAAGTAAAATTCAACGTTATCATGCAAAAATTAGAAACAAAATAATTATTAATGAATTTTTTCATAGTTCTCTTCCGGTATATCTTTTTGT